AAAAGCGGTAACTTAATTTATGAAAACTATAGTCCAATCTACAGATTACAAATTCGTTATTTTTAAGTAACAACCAGTGAGAGTCCGTAGAGATTAATGATGCATGTTAAAGGTATAATAAAGATTCAACATGACTGACTCTTATATCTCATGATTTATGTTTCATATGTATCATTGAAACAACCAGTTAGTGTTGAATTGATACAAACTCTGAAAGTAAACGACTTTAAAGAAAATACTATTACGAATTATGAATTCATCTGAAGACTTACATATGACTATGTAATTATAAATCAGACGACGATGACCAAACGAATATAACCAGAAATATGTTAGTATTTTTGAACTTATTATACTTAGGTATCGAGTTAACTGGCGAATGGTAATAGATAGCTTTCCATATTAAGAATTCACCACTCATCCAGCTCGCACTCAGTACCTCGACGGTTTTAACTTGTCAAGGTTATATTCTTATTAAAACAAGGAATGATAACTACCTTACATAAATTATACCTAATCGGATAAAGCGAACATTTCGTTAACAGATTTGATGCATCATTATCTATCAGATTTATAACACAAAAAAATCGAACCATGTTAGTATTTTGGAAAACCTCTTGACGTGAATTTCTGTAAATTAATCAACTGAAAGCCCTTCACTCAGGCTTCTAGTCTATTGGCATACACCATATAACCCTATTTTGGAATAAGTAACTTGTTGATGTACATGTTTCATACATTCAGAAATTTGATGATTCTTCACATAAGGAAAGTACATCTAAATCTCTCGGCTGACGGTAATAGATTACCTGGTTGGTATATAATTTTCACGTAATCTACTTATCCACATCATATTACTTTTCTCACTGGATACATAAACTGAAGTTATCAAACCTTTATTTTACAAAAGTAGGCTACATTGAATTTATATCCATCGAACAACCCATCCGTTTATGGTCATACGAGAGTCTTGATTCCGGTTTTCTTTTATTAAACGATCTCTGTATGTCCTCCAAGGTTAAACTCAGGACCGTGTGAGCAAATCTATTTAATCGTTAACAATGCGAAGAACAAAGGGGCTAACAAAAAGCACATGGGACTACACATGATCGGTGTTTTCATCATCATCAGCTTTAGTTAAAAACTGATATTCCAAAGGTAAGTTTGGACAAAAACTTAGACCCAGTGCAGTTAACTGAGTCGAGAGTGGGACGTTGGATGAGGATCATGTTACATAGTACGCTAACTGAAATTATAACATGAACCGTTCAATTTTGGTTCATTGGTTTAAAGACTGCTGTGACTGTTATGGGAACTGGAATTACCGGGATTAACACTAGGGTGGATTTGAGTGCACACTGGTGACGAGTCTAAAACTAGGATGAACAACTTGGTTATTGCTGCTTTACAGTGATTTTCTAGTTGGTGTCAGTTGTTGGCGTAAATTATCTTTAAAGTACAGACATGTCATCTATCTTACTGGATTCATAGTACTGAATAGTTTGGGCAACTGTTGTAGTGTAACACACATTTTAATTTTTTTGTGAATAAAGTATGTACCACAGTTTGCTTCAATATTCATTTATGTCAAACCATTGAAGAAAGCAAAGATTTGTAAAAGATAGATATATAAATTTGAAATGTTAAAGACAAAGAGACTTATAGTACAAAGAATTATCCCATAAATAAGTGAACAAACAGAGAAAATTCCATCCCCAGAATCCATCTTTACGTAGATAGGAATTTCGGTCCAGTATAAAATATTCAGTAAGATGTTTTGTAGATAAGGCATTAATTACAGTTGTTACCACTTACCACCATAATATGTTTAGTTTGGATAACTCATCATGAATAAAAATAACCACTGTGATGCAGCGCGTACAAGTGGTTCAAGCTTCACACTTTATATTTTGATCTTGTTAACCGCTGATTTTGTTTTAGTCAACGGAAACCCTCTAATTCAGCCAACGCATACAACCGTCAGGTCGGATATTTGAGATTTCGAAAAGTAACAAACCTGTCAGATCTATGTTGATGAATACAGGGAAGATATGAAGGATTTCTTGAAATTTAGCGAAGACATTTACTTATTAAACCATATCCAGTGATGCTATATCTGTTTTCAACAGATCACAAAGTGTTTGAATCTCCGTGGAAAAGTCACATCACTTTAATCATCTTAGTAACAGTCATAACTTGTTTCTTCAACATAACTAGATTGGGGTAGCATTCAATATTAAAGAACAAGTTATAGTGTCTGTTTAGCAATGGCAATGCTGTTCAATAATTAAATTTAAATACAGATTTCTGAGTAGCTAATAGGTAGATCAATCTCGTCCGAAGAAGTGGCAATTCGTCCTTCTAGCTCAGAAACATGAACGACGTTTAAACCCACCTGAGAATAAATTAGCTGAGGTTGTCCATCACACTCTGACGTTCAAGTAATGTTACATTCGACCCTTTCGGCCGCTTATCCATTTATAAAATCGATGAGCGCTGTATACTGGTTTAATTTTTATTAGAGATTTCATCGTAAGTCCCTAAGTCTTAATAAATATATTTTTCATCCTGAATTTTGGGTTGCAGCTCACTGACATCATAACACATAGTTGCAGATATATTCAGACGCTTGAAATAAAACCTTTACACTCATACGTGCAGCACCCAACTACTATGTAAACGGAAAAATGACCGGAAACTTTAGATATTTCTTGAGAAGTGAGAACGCGGTAGCTAAATCCTAACCTTCCACACACTATTCCATTTTACTCTATGATCCTTACTAACTTTTTTATCCTCCCTGCCACTCTTTGCCTGATTACCCTCAATTTATCATAGCTCTTCGATTGCTCCCATCATTTGACAGAAAACCTGATCACTACCACTACGTTTATAGATGTTCTCGTGATTAGTTTAATCATGGTTACCATTATTTAAATGACTTTATTGTGTTTAGTGTGATTGTCGATCAATTAACTTGGCTTATCTTTCAATTTTTTAACCCTTTGCATATTTCCCATGTGATCAGTTACGTTATGTAGCACGATCATGGAAAGCATGTATGCCAATGAAATAAATTAATTCGTATATATCTTTTTGCGACGATTTCATTCTCGCAATATGAACAATCGTATATAAATGAAGCAAACATTGTAGTAATAGTTTTGCTTGCTTGAAAGTGAAATTTGTCAGGGGCAGCAGACACGAGTGGATGAAATTGTTAATAAATCAATCACCAAACAGACTAGAAAGGATAAAGGTCAAGGGCATAAGTGGTAAACACTTATGTTAAGTTACGTGGGTAAATGAAAGTTTTTTTAGATAATAATGAAGTTTGATTATAGGTGATAAAAATGATAAAAGCATAACAAATGAAATTAATTTTAACTGGAAACCCTTGAACGTAATATATTAGAGGATATGATTTCATGTAATTTAAGAAAGCATCAACCTAGTCCCTTTAGTGTTTTTATTTATCTTTCTGATCCAAAATTTCTATGAAGTCGAATCCTTCTTGTTGCACTCCATTCAAACATCAACAAGAATTCACTAATTATGTTTATTAAATAATAAGTCGTTTACGATTGCTTTCATTTACTTATTAAAAATATGGACATAATCTTTCAACATTTAATTGCCTTTGACAATTTTCCTTTAGGATTTCATAGAAATTCCATTCGGTCTAATAACTCACTTTGTTTATCCATTAGTAGTAACTACATCGCATGAATTTTAACCATAAAAATTGACATATAAACTTGTCATGACATCAACTATTTTACGTTACTCCGAATATACAGCTTTTAAAGGTGAACTGGTCTTTAAAATATTGTTTAATTGAAATGTTTATTTCCTTTTAATGAGTATAATGAGTTTATATCATTTCTTCCAAATTAAATATGCAAAGTTACATTTTTAAAATAGAATTTTTCCTGATGTGCAAGAATAAAGAATACAGGAAGTAAGATAACTGCATCCGACATTATATAGAATTAAAACTGTATTGAATTATAAGTCTAGAAATTTACCTTGTCGATTCAAGAGACATCAACTGTTATCATTAAAGTGAGCGAAAAAAAGGAATTTTATGATTCTCATTTAATCAGTCAACTCAAATTTGATGGAACTTATTTTTTACTTCATCCCTGTTGCAATCAGTAGGGGTATAGGTAAAGACAATGAAGAAACAACGAGGTGTAATTAGCGGTTATGCGTACTTAAGTGAACTTTATTTATGATTACCGTAGGGGGTTTGTGAAGATTATTTACGTTGGCGACTGATCTTTGTCAAGCATCCAGTGAGAACCAGGAAGCACTGAATAGGAGTTTTGCCCTAGTATGGGACTTGTCAGTAATGCACATTAACCATTGAAAGAACCTAAGACCTACAAGTCTTTCAGAGAGCGCACAATATTATTTGTCTAGGTGTTAAATTGGTAGAGTTTCAATCACAAAAAAGGAAAATAAATTCCAACATATCGTTTACCAAGTTTGTATTTCATTTTATAAATTAAAGTAGTACTTTACCTAAAATAGTTGAAAGAAACTAGTTTAAAAGGTTACATCATCTTAAAGAAAAAATCCTAGTAAACAAGTATAAAAATAATTCATCTCTAACAAATCACATTTTAAAAAATGTATACATATATGAGCACATTTAAAACAAGACATTTAAAAGAAGCTATGTGCAAAATCTTTACATTATTCACTGGTATTGATCCATGTAACAGTATCTGAAGGTAAAATCTCATAACCACCAATCATAGTTTTAATAAAAGAAAATAAATTTTGAAGGTTTGTTATCTGATTTGAATTGTTTTCTGGCAGATTATGCTGACCGGTACAACCGATAATGATCAGTTTATGCTGCGCACGAGTTAAAGCAACAGTCAGGCGAGGCAGATCATCGAGTAGGTGATTTCGATTTGACTCAATACACTAAGATATTTTGTAAAATATTAAAAATAAAAAAATTCAGATTAGATTACAGAAAATGTTGATAAAGGTCATCGGATATATAAATGCATATATAAACTTTAAAATTTCAATTGTGTTTAGTGATTTAAGATAGAAATACAAATGAAAAACGTCGGACGAAAGAAAAAAACAGGAGGTTGTGAGCTTGACCCAAACTCAACTTATTTTGGTTCAAAAAGCCAGGAAGAATATCATTACTCTAACTAATCAGTGTGATTCCAAACCGAGATATAACCATATATATATATCGACGCTTTTAACGGTTACAATTCACATAAGCAAGACTCTATATTAGACAAAATTATTAACACTTCCAATAATTGTAGTAGTGAAATATAAAGAATCATTAATCTGAATTACTCTGATGATATAGTCTAAATGACTTTATAGCAAAATATTCCTGTTGCATCAAAAAATAAATTAAAAATAAGCCATAACCGTAAAATATTGCTAGATAAATTCATATTATATGTTTGGTACCGGAAATCTATCCATGAGTTATCTTTATCAAATATCACATTAAGCCAATTGATTCAATGATAAATAGACCTAAAAATAAAATCTACAAATGATTTTTGTTATGATACAAAAATAAATAGTTAATTATTAATCTCATCATACTAACAGTCTTTCCAAGTATATTTCGACATAACGCGCATATTTACAGACTGTGTTCGTCACAGATTGATCTCATTCGGAGAACCATTGAAAATCAAGCAGCACTACAAAGTTGTTTAGTACCCAACTCCTTAATAGTGCAATCACGACCATGCCGGGGGTCGAAATCAGTACCTACATGTCTAAAGATCAGTCTGTGACCAATATAGCCCACAAATTAAACTGATCTCCGTAAAATAACTCAACTAAAGTGAGAATTTGCTGTAAAATAGTAATGCCATGACCAAATAATACGAAAATAATTTGGAATATGTTTGAAAACAAGGAATGACTAAAGAGAGTTTATGATCATTTTGAACGAAATCATGGAATTCGATACACTTTAATTGATTATCGACACAAGTATATTTCGACCAGAAAGTAAATAAATTCACGACAAAGAATATTATGTCGTGAAAATTTAGAAAACTATGCAAGGAAACAATGAAACTATTTTGAATGAGTTTATTGAAAAATCAGTAACGTTACCTCATTTCCATTTGTTCTTAAAAATGAAGATGGACAATTAGTTAGCGAGAGTAAAATCAGTCTTTTGTCACGACCTTGAAATTGATCAACTGTATTCACTTCAATTGATCCAAAAGAATTCTCTTTCATCATATTTTTTAATAAATAAACTTGTGCTCTGTATGGTGTGATAACGCCTATGTCTTCCATCTCGAGAAGAAACTATAGGAATAGAAATTGATCAGAACAATAATATCTGTTGATAAATGTTAGTGGAAATGTAATCTAATGTAACGAAATGTAACACACAGCAGTACTAACCAATTACACCAAAACGGTAGTGAGAAAGTTTCATTATTGAAATATTCTTTTGATAACCTTTATCCACGTTTTTCATAAAAGTAATCTAGGAAACAGTATTTCTGTAGTGACTTTTGGTATTTAAACCATTGACTGCCAATTTGAGCCATTTAGAAAGAGATAGACTACTTCGTTGGGTCTCGCACGATAACCGCCATAAGTTGTTGGAGAATTTGAGTACTATAGGTCGGAATCATCCATAATGTATTCGCTATATCTTACATTCGGTCTAGAATTCCAGTATTCTTTCACATATACTTTTCACTCTTTTTCCGAATCGTAATATCAGTGCTTAGCCTTTTTCATAATCATTACTACCAAAATAGTAAAGATAACAATATACTCCGCTTAAGAATGAGCCACACTCTAAGTGTGAGGAATTATTATATCAACCAGTTGTCCAAACTGAAGTATCTGGAGCGAGGTCCAAACCTGGTTGAAATTCAAACACCTTAACCACTAAGTCACTGAAATATCGTCCTGATCACTTTTACCCAATATTTTGTTAGCTTTATTTTATTGTTCTAATGTGGTACGGTAAATTGAACCAACCCATATTTGTGTCAGATTTTACATTGATGACTGATTGATAATATATATCGGATATTAGATTACCGCATTCAACTCCTAGAAATGAGGAGTTCAGATATGTTTTACACAAAGATCATCAGGTTAAATCTCACAAAGATCTAATATTTAATAAAAATTTACAATTCGCGGAATGAGTAACTTACTACATGATGGATTCGTCTTATTATATAGAGAATTAACTGAGCTTCAATCGGATTAGAATTCGATGTACGAGATTCATTTTCAGAAAGACGGTAACAATCAAGCTAACGACGTGAAAAGAAACAAAGATTCATTAGAAATTCAAAACTCATAATTTCAGCAACACAATGAATAGTTCCAAGTATAAAGTTGAATAGACCATATTTCATTTCGAAGATCAGGGCACATGTGAAACATGCGTATAGAATATGTGGTGAAATGAATACCAAAAAGTCTATTATTTTTACTTTAAAAGAGTACTATTTATTTCGTTTTCGCATCCGGAAACAAACATTCAAAATCTCAGTGGGACCCGACAATCAATCAATAAGACGTTGAGGTCCTTGATAATGGCAGAAATGAATATAGAATTTGATTTATTAATATTACGGCTAACGGAGTGATTATGAAATTATTTACAAGTAAAGAACCATAGAAATATTTTGCATTAATAAGTGACAATAATTTTTGACAATGGTATCACAGTACCATTTGTTATCAAGAATTAATAAACCCTAAACTCAAAATATTTCCCGACAATTTTCATGACATAAAATAAGATTAGTAACTGATTCATTTTGACCAAAAGCTAGGAATGTTAATCAGCGCACCAAACCGCTGTATTGTTCCTTCAAGTTTCAAGTCAACAGAGTTATGGATAGATTTTATTGATCTCACCTAGCAGGAGTATTGTGAAACAAAACATCTATGAAACGATTTAGAAACCTACTAAGTATTTGATTAAGTAAGCTTTTAATTCAATTAGCACATATTGCCCATTTCTAAATATCGACAAAATAAAACGACTTTCTTATGGTATCGAGACCACAATCTAATCGATATGACTAAGAACGGAATTTATATTGATGTTATTAATCAATCATAGTACCAGGAGAATGAAAGTAATTAATTTCATATATGTCCTATCTATAAGTAACCTTTACTTTGAACCATATACTGTTTGTATAGAATAGATTTATTGATTAAATCCAAAAAGAGTACTTACCATTTTTGTATCTAAAAGCAATACAGAATCCGAAAGAAGTGGACTATTTACACGTTTTATCCATAATGGCAACTAAAAAGAAGACAATACTTTTTTTTAAAAGGGGGGGGGGAATTAAAATGGAATTCAATCTAAATACATTTTATGTTGTAAATAGAAATGATAAATTTAAGGAGAATTTAAGCATTAGAATAGATGAAAATTTCTACCTTGAATTATTTTAGTTTCTTTATCCTTTTCTTACATGTAAACATGATAAACTATATGATTTAATTGGTATTCATTTTAATTAATATCACTTTCAAAGTGAAAAAAAAGGAAGATTATCCTTTGTTTAAAATGAGGCAATAAAAGAAGTGATATAAAAGTAACTATTGGACAGGAAATCAATGCATTTCTAAATGTTACAGAATAAAGCACACATTTCAAGTTTGTTTTTTTTTAATTTCGAGATATGATCTATGAATTTACATATTTTCTATGTATATTTATTTAATGGTTAAAAACATAGTATAACATACATTGACAAGTTACAATTTTGTAATACAATAGAATTCATGTTACATTTCGTGAAATAAATCAATGTTTTAAATTAATGACAAAAGAATCGACTATAAAAGGAGAGCGAAATTGTTACAATATTCACGTTGGTTGACATGATTTGAGGTTAAAAAACAATCCTAAAACATACTACTATTAACGTCACCCTGTGATATAATAAGTAGTCGACTTTGGGTGAAAATCGAATGAACAACCCTGATGTCACCTATTTATAATTTCTTTCTGTTTAGTTTGCTCGAAATAAAATCTCATTAAATAACTCACTGAAAACTATGTACGTAAAGTCAGTTTCTAGCTCGTAACCAGGATGAACGTATGCATTTATACTATATCTAGTTAGATTGTCAATAATCTATAGTTTACTGTTATAGACTCATATTTCATTAAACAACTATAAGAATGATTGTATAATGTAAAGAGTGTGTAAATATTACAATGAGTTAGCAGTTGATAAATTTACTATTCTACGTTTGACAGAACTATTAAAGAACCACATTTTCTGGTTATTAATAAAAATGTGATGAATCTACATTGACTGATGTGCAACGGACTAGCACTACGTCATCCTTGCAACAGTAGAATACGAGATTTAAAGTGATGAGGAGAAAAATATTTTACTTCAAGAATCGCTGGTATTTTTTGAGTATGCAAAATAAGGAAAAATTAACTGTGGTCAAGTGATATAATCTTTGATCAAGCGTAGCGATTTATTCCATTCTGTCATATATATACCAAAAGGCATAGAGGTTTTACGCATAAATTTTGTAAAATATTTTAGCATATTATCAAATTGCCATTTGATACCTTAAATAAACACAATAACAACTAGTTCACCACTAGAACCACATACTAGAGAAAATTTTAAAAGGGTGAATAGTAAGGTACTAGATTTGGGAGATAGATGAAGCGAAGAAGCTCTTATAAATTAATAGCAATCATATTAATTTAATGTTAGTGCAAAGTGTCAATAAAAAATCTTTTAGAAAAATAAATACAAGCAATAATACTATTGTTAATTGTGTCCAATTCCCATGCAAACCAACTGTTTTGTTAGACAACTCGACAATTAATGAATGGACAAATGTTTTTTTTCGTTAAATATGCAAAAACAAACAGAAAAAAAACAGATTTTATGTGTGTAAACAGTGAAAATGACACAAATGGCTTAATAAATTCAAAGATTTTAATCATACAATGGTTTCCTCAAAGAATCATTAGAATACAAAAAAATTCTCCAATCTACACAAGTTTCGTACGCTAAAACACTCATTAAAATGATGCACACAATGGGTCCTTAATGGTAATTAGTTAGAATTGTGATAGTGAATCTTACTCGATTTTCCATAAATATCCCACTTCCTCCAATGCGATATTTTACATATTCAGACTACACAAAAATACTTCACATTACATCTATCCAAAATTAATTAGACAATGCTAATGTGTAGCTGGTTAGAAAAAAATTGACAGCTAAAATGTAATAAGCAAACAACAGTGACGAAAAAATAGAAATTGAAGAAATTGAAGAAATTTAACGTTTATTTTTCTCTTACATTACAATTTACCTTGTCCGATATTTCATCTGAGACGATATTAGGATTTAACTTCAGTGTAGCTTGTGATACGCATGAATTAGCACAAGACATTTTGTTTTTATAGGTTAACTGATTGGATAATGCCATAATCTTAGAATTCATACGATATTGAATTGTTAATTCAGTTACATATCCTTTTTTTGAAAGGTCCATTGATGAATTTGTTGCTAATGAACTATTATCACTGTCATGATGGCTTAATAACAATGAAAAAAGACTTTGATCCAGTCCGCCAAGCCTAATCAAAGAGTAAACAAAAGTGGTTGGAATGTATTAACAAAACTAAATTTAAAAAAAAAACTGCTAAAAAAGTAAATTCACTTAAGAGTCAGTTGTACTCAATAAACTAACCCACATGGCTTAAAGAATAATTGTACTCCACGGCTAGATTAAAATTAGTTCTCCTTTTTCCAAAATCTGTCTTTGGAGATACACACATTAAAACTTAGTGGAAATCACACACAGCCAAAATACAACATGATAGTTTAGGGAAAGTCTTTAAAAGCTAACAAACTATATTTGAGAGGAAATTATTTCAGGAATCAGGAAATCATAATGATAATGGATGTCTAAACTACGATGAAAGGAAATTTGCAGTAAGATAAGCGTTACAAACCTATTGATTTCGTCCCTACGTAAAACTTAAGCACGAGTCTTATATCTGTTCATATCGCTAGAATAATGTACAAATAACTATGTAAGTCGACGTTATCTTTCGATTTGAAAACAATGAGGATTATTTCGTATTACAACTGAGACTATAATCAAGCCATTAAGGTTGGTGTAACTTTATAAACTACATTAACTAATACACGTCTTTAATCTATATCTTTAAACCATGTAGGTATAAAAACAAAGAAACAATCAAATTATAAATGAAGTCACTTTCACGAAAAATGTTTTTGTAAACAAATAAGAGTAGTTCGTATTTAAACAATTAATAACAAGAGTATTGTAAAGATAGAAAATGTAGTGAGACTATGAAGTATTCAAAAAGAGCAAACAATAAGTTTGACAAAATAAGTAATTAACGATAATTAAACTTTTTTGACTTTTTCAGCCCTAATTGAACTTAGTGTATCAGTGACTTGTTCTGCCAGAAGATATATACCATATAAGAGTTTCAAACATGAAATTATGGTGTTTGTATTTAATGCATGCTTATAGTTATTCCCAGAACCAATCAATTAACAATCCTACACATTCAATTTTAAGAAGCAAATTAGTTAAAATCAACCAGAAGTTTTGACGAAAATTTAAACTGTATGAATTTCAAACCACTAATAAGTACACTGGAATACGCAACATTCAGTCTTACGTATGAACTAAGTCGACAAGGAAATATCTTTGAAAACAAAAAAAAACTGCTCAAATTACCTAGCTTTTTGACTACGAACTAAAGGAGGTAACTGGTAATGATCCCCAACCAGTACAAAACGACAACATTTTATAGAGTCAAGAGACTGTTGCTCATCAGCAAGGCACAGTAATGGCCCCAAAGTAGTAGGAAACATTAATTGACTAGCCTCATCAATTAGGACAACATCGAATTTTTGATATGTCAAAGCTGAATGTCGTAGATCATTCCCTCCACTTGCACTTAAAGCTGTGCATCCAACAACGACCTAAAAAAAATAATACAATACAAAATAATCCATCGGGAGTCGTTAAAAAAAAGGAATTGGATTTACAAGTTAACCTTGTACTAAAAAATTTAAATAAATTAATACCAGATAAATAAAATAAGATATTTTCTTAACACTAAGATGGAAACAAAATTCAACGGAATAATCTATTTGACCTATTTCCCATAAACTATATAAGATTATTTTTTTGACATGTTAGTATCCATTTCGTATCGTACAGAAAGTAGAAAAAATAAAAAGGTATCCGAGTTAAAACTGAAATTGTTCTTTATTGAAGTAAGTAACTATAAATCTAGAAAATATGATAAGATCCTCAAAATAGAAAATTGGTATTTATTCATTCAGCAACTTCTGCTGAAAATCAATTTTAAATTAGTTTTACGTTAGTATTATTTATCTAAATATTGATTAGTCCTATTACCATTATTTTCTTTCCTTGCAAGCTTTCGAGAGAAATGATACTTTAAAAAATAAAAATATTTTTCATTATTGTGCTGATGATTAAGGGAAGCTAAACGAATAGACTCTAGTCTAAACTCGCAAAGGAAACTTCAAGTTGTTTAGATTTTAGTGAATAGTTATTAGACTTTTTGTGAAAAAAAGAAACACGATCATTTTCACAATTCATATTTCCCCACTTAACTTTACTGTTATATATTTGGTTGTCCTTATTTTTTGTTTGCTAAAATTTATTATGTCTTCAGTTTATAGGTTGGTTGCTTTATAGACTTATTACACTAAAAATCTGACTTCTTGTTACTGTGAATACCAAGCTTCTCCTGAACCTGTGACTTTCTCTTGTCTTCTATGACGTTAGGGATTATATTAATGAACAACTGTGTGGCAATAATCCGGTCTATCAAGTTCATATTAGAAGAGTATCTCAATTATTCGTAAATTAGGAATAGCTGTAAGATTACCAACCACAAAACTTAGTAATCTTCGAAATCATTATAATAAGGAGTATAGTCGATAATATTGGTGAGACGAATACAATAACCGATAACTGTTACTTTTTCGACTAAAAGTAGTTAACATGAACTAACCTTACCAAAGATTTATTCTAAGAAAGATTGCAGTAAAAGAAAATTTAGCATGTCAAAAGTTTACTACGCAACTAATTTAGTTTGCACAATTAGAGGATATCATTAGTTGTTACATTGAAATTCCAATCTGAAATCAAATACACAAACCTGTAATCAGTAACTATGTTACATTAATACATAAATAACTTAAAGTTATTATGATGTGTTTATCTTCCTATTTCTATGTATAAAATACAAATTATATTGAATAATAAGACAATCGTCAATCTAACAAATGAGTTATCTGGAAAAAAAATCCTAACCAATAATTATTGTACTAATCCAATAAGTATCAACGGGTCTTTTAGTACAATTTGGAAAAAACGATTACTAAATCCTAATTGAGCTAAACTCACTAACAGCCAAGTACTTGCCAGTACTATATAAAAATATTCGTTTACGTTATTTATATCAAATTAAATGAAATCTGAGTCACATCTTTGCAGGTATCCAATTCCATTTCGATTCTAAACATAACATGAATAAATAAAGAGATGCTTACAGCATAGACAAGGAACGCTTAAATAATAGTCTGTCTATCATAACATGAACATATAAACATTAATTTTTTTTCTACAATACAAATACACCATGGACTAACAACCGAATAACATGAAATTTTCCATATGGTCTAACCTAAAACAAAATAAAAAGGTCATGTCAACTATACCGAATTGTAACTAAGAGAATAAATATTTTCAGGACAAGAACAGGTGTTAGAAAAAACCAAACAAATGTAAACATGATATATATTCTAATAATTATCTTTTAACATGTAACGCCACGTAATCTTTATATGTTAGACAATTAGTAAATAAATAAAGAGACGTTTGGTGCAACAACTTACAGTGTTTGCCATAATATTATTTATATAGTCAATAACATCATTTTTAAGTTTATCATCAGACTTTAGAAATGTATTCAGTTTGTATTCAAATGAATAATTCAATAATTCAGGAAGTATTCGATCCATTTGTCCAAGTCTTATAACACGAGTCTCACCAGTCTAAGAAAAAAAGAAAACAGAACAAGCTAATCACCTTATTGTTGTTACGACGTATGTCATGAAACAGATTTTTTATCAGTCAGCAGTTTCGAAAACGCCATATAATGAAATATACATCTAGTAGCGTATTGGATGGTTTAATAAATTCACTAACCAACTTTAAAGCAATCCTCAAGTTTTGAAAGTGTGTATGGACAAATCACTTGAAAAGTCAGACGTCTACACTAAAAGCTGCTAGGAATTGAGATATACTATACGTTGACTGATGATTATATTTTGATGGTTGAATTCATGAGTCGATCTAAGCTAGACTACCATTGGAAATCTGGCTTCAATATGGATTTCCTAGAGCTCTAGTAAGAAGCTGTGACTAGTGGAGTCCAATTCGTGTCGGGTAGAGAAGGGTATCTACCTCAGACAATGAATGAATGATTGCACGACACGAATCGAATGAAGTTAGACATTAACACTGTTGGATGCCGACCGGCTCAGTGGTCTAAAGGTTAAGGGTTCGCTCGCGAGATCGAAGGTTTTGGGTTCAAATCTTGTGTGTAAGCCCGTGGATGCGCACTGCTGAAGAGTCCCATACTGGGGCAAAATAGCTGTCCAGTTCTTCCAGGTTTTTAGTGGTGGTGTAGGTTACATCGACTCATGAATTCAACTATTCAAATTACTACAATCTTCGCAAAACCCGATTCTGACTATATTTTAATCCAAAGAGACTAGATTTGACTTTTCGTGAGATTATTGATTTAAACTTCTAAAAATAAACCTAGAGGGACAATTATTCAGTTATCAATAATTTTTAATTATTGTTTCTGGGTGATTTCAGTTCATGACAAAAATGATATACGTTTTTAAGCAATTTTTAATACCACAGTAACAGATAAAAGTTTGTTGCACAATGCTCGATCATATCTAGTTCTAATTAAAAAGAGATAAATTACATAGAAAACAAACAACACTTACTTTACATAATCTTAAAAGTAAATTATCGACAGCGGAATGAGTATGTGCTGTGACAAGAATTCTTTTCTTTAACAAAATGAGGACACGTAATAATGCTACCAAAGTTTCGGTCTTTCCTGAAAATAATAAAAAGAAAATCAGAATGAATAATAACAAATATTTTATGAGCTATTATAGCACATCGAAAAAAGAGATGAGAATAGCAGACATTTTAATTAAGAAAATACTTAATATTAAGTAAATATGAATCAACAAGAGTTATCCTTTTTATATAAATTTAAACATTTTCATAAATAAATAATCGTTTTATTAAGAGACTCCATACGAATTATTTCATGTGACATATAATTTATCATGCACAATGATTTCTTATAGTACTAACATTTAGATCTTTAATCCCAAAACAAACCTGCACACAAAATGATGAATTCAATGGAGGTTATTTACAATAGATAGAAAAATGTAATATATTCCCAGTTTTTATCGTTTAAACGAATTAGACGTTTTACTAGAATAACATTTTTTAAAATTAAAGATTATGAGCTTTGCTTTAAAGATCACGGGATATGAACAAATTGAACGAAAATTATCCAAGTAATTTGTTACAATTGAATGAAAGCTAAATGATAGTGTACTAAGTAAACGTATAAATAGTACTATATTTTTCACGAGAAATGTAAATAGTTCCCAATCAATTATACGAGTATTTGTTTAGACTTGTAATATATAATATCATATGATGGATATGCTTTGAACATTATAAATTAGTAACACTTTTTGCTAGACATAATGGTAGAATGAAATATAATCTATTATGAGACACCTAATAGAAATGATAAACTCCACGACACACTTTGAAATGAACAAAACCATCATTAACTTAGGATGGGGTAGAGATATATACAAAAGAAATGAGAAAAAAATCTGTGTAAATGTATTAAGTAGCTTATGGGGAATATAATATAGTTAGCCTTAAGTTACAATACGTAAGACTGGAATCGGATAAGAAATGAAGTGAGATTCGATTTTGGAAAAAAAGTAATAATAAGAGCCATAATTTGATCAGTAAACGTATTTCTCACTTTAAAAAATAAACAGAATTACCATTTACGTAAAAAAACACAAATCGAATTTGGTTGACAACCTAACATGTTCAGAGAAAAATCAGTGTAGCACTACAATAGTATTATGAAGAGGAAAAAAATATAACAATTACAAAGTATGAATATTTGCTGGTCCATAGTGAACTACCATTTACCTGTTTTAACTGAACTAAAAATGAAAATTGTATACTGTTTACTTGACCAATTGTAGGCTTTATATATAGATTAGTCCACAGTATAATACACTCAGTACTTAGAAATAGACAAACCTTGAATGAAAGTCAATAGTTTATCAAGCTGAACATCAAAGGCAAATGTTAGGAAAATTCTTGGTTTCTTTTAACTTTTCAAGAGTTATTGTGGCCATGGCTCAAGGTCACTTTAAAATTATCTTGGTTTGCATACACTACGACATCAATGTCCAGGACCACGTATATAAAATCGTGGTTCATAGCATATCATTTAAATTATGTTTGTATGATTGTACGCTCATAAATTGCATCCATTAAAAGTACTACATACTGATAACAAAATATTAAACATGCATATCTAAAAATTGTATTTACAAATAAAAATACCTGATCCAGGATATCCTTTGATAAGAATATAATTTTGTGAAAAAAGCGTTTGTAGTATAGCGGTACGTTGATTTACATTCAATGGTTTCAGAATAGGGCGTACTATAAATAAGTAAAAATTAAATAACACACGTGATAAATAATGATTACTTTCTTTGACAATCTTTTTAGATATTGTTTTCGACATATCCGGTATACGACCATCAATGATAAGCTCCCGTAGTAAATGACTAGAAAAGGAAGGATTAACAGAAAACAGTGGTCGAATATTAAATAAAATCGACTAAAACAGTTATTTACCCAAGAATAATTAATTTAAAAAAGCTGGAAAGAAACTCATTACCACACAATATGTACAGAAATGCTTATTTACGGACCTTCACAAGGGATATTTACTGAAATGACGATATTAGCCAGTAAATTTTAGTAACACGGTGATATCATAACAGATCACGAAATGAATGGCGAAAATAAAAATCTTCGTGATTCAAACTCTTTAATGTAATACCAGTGATAATTTTAAGTTATCAGTAAGTAACCAAAACTATTACATAATTGAATCAATCTTTAAAACTAACCGTCTAATCAAAACTTGATATCCTTAATTCTAATAAATTCACAAACAATAATATATCTCAGAACACAACTAATAACAATTGCAACTCAAGTTCAATTTATGATTGTATTTCGACCTGAAGAAATAGAACTTCATCAAAAACAAATTATTTTTTGTCAGAAACGCTAATTAAGTGAAAAACAAGAACAAGATAGAGTATAGAACTGAAATTACTGCTGCTGCTAAAAAGTATGACATAATAATAAACCCCGAACATAATTTGTGGTAACGATGTGATTGTTTGGACATTAAGAATACCATCACTACAACCTGATTACTTCAGTGTGTATAAAAGAAAATAAATAATGATGACTATCCAGTTAAAACATATGTATTTCATTGAAATCCTGAACCGATCAACGTTAGACCACTATTAAAAACCTGGAATAACTGGACGCCCGTTTCGTCCCAGTACGGAACTCCTCAACAGTGCATATTCACTAGTAGAGTTCAGCTGTGTCGGGTGTGAATCAGTTATCCACCGAAGACGATGGGAGATGGTCGCGCGATATCATGGATTAGTAGGAGTTAGACGTTGAGATCGTCAGGTCCCGGCTCAATGAGTTTGGAAGTTAAGCGTTCGTGCGAGGTCTAAAATTCTGGTTTCGGATCCCGATAGCAGGGTTGTGAATACTCACTGCATAAGAGTCCCATACCAGGACGAAACAGCCGTCCAGTGCTTTCGGGTTTTCAATGGTGATCTAACATTGATGGGTTAGTAATTTCAAAGAGATATGATAATCTCCACAAACACATACTGAAAACATATATGAATATTTACCTACCATAATTTGGAATTCCTCATTAAACCCACCAAGTTGGATAGATTCAACTGAATTGCTTTCATTGACACATAACGATCAACACGAAACAATTGAATTCGATCGGGAAATAACCTAAGAATAATGAGGTAATAGTGTCATCTTCAATCTAAATAAATATCTATGATATATAGCGAAAGTTTCAATAACATATGTTACGAAATAATCAAAACATAATCTAATGACACAGTTTATTGTACTGAAATTTATCTCGGTGATGTCACAATAATCAACAACCAAAAAAATTATAAAAAAATTGGTATCGTTAATTATTCATCTTCCATTCTCAACTGAAATGAGCATTTCCAAGGACATTTAAGATCAATATATAAAGCTAAATACAAATACTATTTATGTGTTTTTTGACCGAACATCATAATGATCTTTCAGTCCGAAAACATTCTTCATAGTAAAAATACAGTTGACTCTGTTTCTATGCGATAAACTCTAAGACCTAATTAAAACGTTTAACCGAGCGTACACATGTAGATAAAAAAGAAGATAAGCAAAAGATTAAGGACAAAATAAAACTAATAAAATATATGTTTGGCTATATAAATTCGAAATCAATCTACCTGGTTGAAATCAAAGATAATACATATTTCTTATAGTCAGACAGTGGTGAAACGAATCCATGACTAGTAAAATCAACTTCATGAAGTCCTTCAACTGCAGCTACAGTTGCTAGTTCAATACCCAGGAAACGAGAATCATCACTGCTGACAATAACAAAATCACCAATACTCAGACTTGAAAGGGATCTGAAATAAATGACGAGAATAACAACGATTTCATAAAGTAAGAGAATGAAATTGAATAAACACAATGCAAAAACTAATTTAGAAAATTGGTTGAATAGTATAGTAAGCAACGCTAAATAAAACCTATTGAATAAAATACATTCATAATAAAGCTGTAATTTGAACAAAGCAATCGCTTGTAATTATAGTAAGTAACGAGTTCAGTAAACTTTAGTAATAAAATATTTATTAATGATTCTCTATGCTTTAAAAGAAGTGACATATTCATTAAATAATTATTGAATAATATCTAGTGCGTTAGCATATTGAAAATCATTCAGTTATTAATTGGTATTTTCTATATTAGAATCTTGAATAATGATAAAGTGATGAAGGACATGTACTTTAAATTAGCAGAAATAAGTGAAATAGTCCTTAAGTTCTTTTTTCTTTTCTATTAAACTACATCTTGGTTATCTGCAATATTTTCTTTGACTTATTATTAAAGAGATAAAATGCGAGTCTATATGGATAAGCTAGAAAAAACAAGATTGCATAACATCTTATTTAATTGATATGTTCGACTCTAAGTTTAATTAAAGGTCACTTGTACTAATCAACATACTGGATCAAATAGTTTAAATATTGAATTGAAAACCCACTTGAGTAACATTTAATAATTTTTTAAGTGCTTCTAAATCAATAAGCGTACTTTATATTCCTACGGATTATATTGGAGATACCTTTAATTAGTTTTTATTATATACTCAGCATTTATTAGGCTATATATGTTACGAAACAAATCGTAAATTTATGTATTAATTACATAATTAAATCATTGTAAAGTAGACAATATGGAAATTATACAAAACATACAATAAGGATTCATAAGGTTGATCAAGGGATTTGTGTAAAATAAACCAACTCTGAACGTCATCTTCACCAGATAATGAACTTTGTAAAATTTTCGTCTTCACTAAACGTAAACCGCGAATAGTACCATTAGTGATGGGTCTATAAAGTAATAGTTTAAAAATGATAATATTAGAATGATTTATTTATGAAAGAGAAATAATGAAAGTAGCCTCTTAAAAAAATATTTACAAGAAGGGATGGTAAACTACATAGAGATTATAGGAATGAACAAATCTGATCCACTGAAACCAAGATGACTACAACGTTATGACTATACGTTATGACAGATTTCAGACACAGAATAGCATAATTTTGAAAGGGTTATTCAAAATAATCCTATCAGAAATGACGGAACAAGTTAAGTAGTAGTAACATAATGCTCCGATTTTATATTCTACGTTACTGTTTGGTTTATGTCTAAATGATTTATTTCAAGTTGACTAAAATGTTTGCAAAAACGCACATGAAAACTAAAAAAGATGTTTTTTGTGAGATTGAAAAGGTAACAAAGTCCTGTTGGATTTCAAACTGAACTATAACAAACTATTTATGTATTGAAATATGTTAGCGGGAACAAGTATCAGAAAAAAAATTCAAACCATTATTTGACATTAATGCATATAGTTTTACATAGACAAAAATAAAACATGAATAACTTAATGGTATTTAAGTTATAAAGGTTGGATGAAGGTAGTATTTACTGAATTCACAAGAAACGTGACAAAATAATAAAGACTATCATTTAGGAGCTGTTTAACAAATAATATAATTCATACACTAGTCATGATATTAGTACAATGTGGAAAATAAATATTCAGTGCTGTTTACAGGTAAGTGAAAGTGAAGCATTATCTATCCCAGTAATTATTATTATATAGTGTGGTAAATTGTATTACCATCCATTACGTAACATTTATTTAGTGAAGTGGTCAAGCATCTTTGAGCAGCACATGTTCTGATACAGGACGTTTTCAAATTTAAGAGGAGCAAATTATTCACACTGAGTTAAATAATAATTATTATGAGGCTCTCTGCTACTAGAAAATGATCTTCACCAATTTATGTTAGCATAAAAATATGAATCGTAAAAGTATGGTTACATAGAAGAATGTACAAAGTACACTGACAACCTAGGCCCAATCCACTTATCCACAAATCATATATTGACAAAAGGGATTAAGTTCTAATATGTAAACTAGCAACTCTCAAGACCAAAAGATGTGAAGGAACTCTAAGGTACGACAAACAAATCCTCTTTCTCTTCCCCTAATCCACGGAGTTAGCTACCTTACAAATAGTAAAATATCATTAAAATCATGAGCCAACCTAAGTTAAATCATCATTAAAAACTTGGAAGCACTGAATAGCCGTTTCATCGAACAGTAAAAGAGATTGTATTGTTAGATTTGGTTAATGACTTTAGGGATGACAATTTTGAAAATACAACTTTATTAACAGATGTAAGGAATACATAAATGATGAATAGAGCAAAGAAAAGTATTACGAAACTACTTTCGAAAAGAAAACGACAATTCATATATAAACATATACTTATTATTATTACTTGTCAACTTTTAAAGATGTTTTGTAAATATTTCCAATTACATGTTCGAAGCGTTCATTATCCAAGTATTCTGTTAACAAGAGTTTAGACCACTTGATAAAAAAATCAATATATACTTGTTGAAGGTGAGACCGATGGTTTATGAGAATTTTGTGAACGCTGGAAAATGAATCATGCGCACTCGAATATCTGTATGAAAAAATACAAAAAGTTATACATTACTTAGATCAGGCGGAATATGACAGTAACGTTTTATGGGAATGTGATAAACTCTTTTAAACCCTGCGTAGCGATTATCAAATAAGCGTAACTCCATCCAGGTTTCCGTTCACTAATAGTTGCTTAAATAATGAGCAATTTCAACACCAGTGTTACACTCCTGTCAGCCAAAAGTAAGACTCAAAATTTCACAATAGCTTATGATTTATTAAACCACACCGACTGATAACTACGATCTACATAATCTCTCATCACTACATATAAGAGTAATAAGCACATAGATACCCAGAAGTGAACATCACCATCGAAGATACTTAAAACCAAGTAACAATAATAAATGTTTTTTTTTCGCTTACTTTAGCATATTAATAAACTTACGGTTTTGCAGGATTTTCTGTTAATAAGCTGCATGTAAGCTGTAAACTGCAAGTTTGACAAACACGTAACTGATTTATACAATCAGGTAACTTCAGTTTCTGATTGCTAACACGCAACTGTTCGTGAGAAGTATCAGCTGATTTTAGTAGATCGATAATTCCTGAAACCAGCCTATTTCTCGTCTGTATAAGACCCCGAAAACTGTTAATATCTGGATAAATAATGCCTGGATTTGTGAAGGAAATGTGTTTCTGAAAATTCTGTTTTATCGGCTCCTTTAGGTAGACAAGCCAGCCAGCATTTGCGACTGGAACTCTAGCATATTTAGAGGTACTGTAATGAGTACCGTAAAATTCTCTAGCCAACATTAGGTATAAGTAGACCTAGAAAATAAAATGCCGAACATTGATTGATAAACATGTAGTAAGTATAGCAAATAAATGACTACAAAGTTGGTTTATATATACAAGTGAATTAACTAAATAAAACTGGACAGACAATACCGTAATAACGATTACTAATAATGAAACTTTATAGCTGTTGGTGGTTTCGGAAGAACAAGTTTGAAGAGTAAACAAAAAATGTGGTAAACAATAGATACATAGCGACCCAATGTTCACAGGAGAAAGTTTTAAAAACACTGAATATATACATGTGAACTAGACATATATGACTCACGTTTAAGGCAAGAAATTCCTAACTTCGATTAGCACACAGTAAGTACCTTAATCCCCACTCCCAATTCCTGGTGATGGCAAGTACAAAAGAAAAAACTTGCACTAAAGTTTTATTGGCAAAGACTAAAGAATGTATTAGGCAAGAAGATACTGTGTACAAATATATACATTATGTCTTCGGAAGTGTGAAAATCAAGAAATAAAAAGTGTAATAAACTAAGAAGGAATTTTCCTAGTTTAACTTCATCTTGTTCACACATTTGTTCTCCATGATAAATTTGAACAGAACAAGACAACAGGATATGCAGGATGAAATGGACATACTATATTTCAGATCTGTTCGTCAGTTGTGAACAGCCTGAAGTCATGAACAATAATAGAATACTAAATAAAGTTCTGATAAACTTTAATCAATCAAGTTGAGAGGGATACTTGAAATGGAATGGAAAACCATATTAGGAGGAATAATGTAAAAAAATGTCTTATACAGTTATTGTTATATTTAAACTAAATATCTCACCAACCAACTTGAGTTAGAGTAATATAGAAAATCGAAGAGCACCCGACGGCTAGTTTGTAGTAATATATATATATATATATATATATATATATATATATATATATATATATATATATATATATATATATATATATAGCAGTGACGGCGGAAAAGGCTGCAAGAGAAGGAAACATGAAACACCTGTATGAGACGACAAAGAAACTCTGGAAATCACCGTAAATCGGAGCGACCAGTGAAAAGCAAGGACGGCAAGGTAATCATTAACATTGAAGAACAACAAAACAGGTGGGTAGAACACTCCAAAGAACTCTTGAATCGACCAGCTCCACTGAACCCACCCAATACCGAAGCAGCACCCACGGACCTCCCAATCGATGTTGGCCCACCAACAATTGAAGAAATCAGCATGGCCATCAGACAAATCAAGAGTGGAAAAGCAGCAGGACCAGACAACATTCCAGCAGAGGCACTGAAAGCAGACGTAGCGGCGACTGCAAGGATACTCCACATTCTCTTCAATAAGATTTGAGATGAGGAACAAGTACCAACAGGCTGGAAAGAAAGACTTCTGGTCAAAATACCAAAGAAAGGCGATCTCAGCAAGTGTGATAACTACAGGGGCATCACTCTTCTCTCAATACCGGGAAAAGTCTTCAACAGGGTATTGTTAAACAGGATGAAGGACTGCGTAGACGCCCAACTTCGAGACCAACAGGCCAACAGGATTCCGTAAGGATCTATCGTGTACAGAACAAATCATGAAGACGTAAACATCTAGGGAGAAGTATGGGATACAGTGGATAGCTAAGATGCAGCTGGAAGATCTAGACTTCGCAGATGATCTGGCTTTCCTATCGCAATCGCAACAACAAATGCAGGAGAAGACGACCAGTGTAGCAGCAGGTCTCAATATACACAAAAGGAAAAGCAAGATTCTCAGATATAACACAGCATACACCAATCCAATCACAACTGACGGAGAAGATTAGGAAGATGTAAAAACCTTTATATATTTGGGCAGCATTACTGATGAATTTTCAATACAAACGTCGAGACAGTTCTACTGTATGGGGCAGAAACCTGGAGAACAACGAAAGTCATCATCCAGAAAATACAGGTGTTTATTAACAGTTGTCTACGCAAAATACTTCGGATTCGTTGGCCAAACACCATCAGCAACAAACTACTGTGGGAGAGAACAAACCATATCTCGGCGGAGAAAGAAGCGCTGGAAGTGGATAGGACAGATTGAGGAAAGCACCTAACTGTGTCACAACGCAAGCCCTCACATGGAATTCTGAAGGCCAAAGGAAAAGAGGAAGACCAAAGAACACATTACGCCGAGAAATGGAGATAGACATGAGAAGAATGAACAACAATTGGATCGAGCTGGAAAGGAAGACCCAAGACAGAGTGGGTTGGACAATGCTGGTCGGCGGCCTATGCTCAATTGGGAGTAACAGGCGTAAGTAATATATATATATATATAACGTCCGTAAGGATCTTTTTGACTATGTTACAAAATGAACATAATCTTTACCTGAATACAAAGTGAAGAAAACAATGATTGTTAAAACAATTTTTTTATCATATATTTAAAATATTTGTTTCATTTACTTAAAAGGTGAACATCATCTAACTAAACGTGATGAATATATGGTTATGAAACTACAAGAAAACTTACTTGACCTTTATGTTCAATTGAATAAGATGGATTACCAGATTTTAATTCCATAGGAATTAAGTTCAATGTAGGTTTTAATTCACCAAGTAAGGGAATTTCACACAGTAATGTTGAGTCAATTTTTCCTTTTAAACCCAACCTGGATAAAAGATAAAATGAAGTTATAGGACAAAATCATTAATTATTTACATTGTAGAATCGATTATTCTGATTTAATTTTAATTAATTTTTAAGCGATAAAGTGAATTTCAAAAAGTTTTAAATATCACAAACAATATAATTAAGATCGAATAGTTTCAAAGTATTTGGGTGCCGAGTCAAGGAAATATTTCCTTGAAAAAGCTTGGACCAGATTGCCAGGCGAAACGTTGGATTTACTTCAAGATTCATTTGCTGAGATTTTACAAATATATTCTTCCTCTTTAATATAATTAAGAGTTTATGACAGCTTTCTTCATTTAAACCAGAATCATCTGTACAGTAATAATTTACAGGTTTTTATAGTTAGTTCGTAAATGAATCATAAATATCAATTGTTAAATAGATGTAGAATAGAACAATGTGTTTTAAACTGTTAATTTTCAAGGTGTGTTTCATTAATAGAAAGTTATACCAGAATCTACCATTAAAACGATAAGAATTTTCTTCTACACCCAAAGATTAACAATTATATTAAAAAGTATACCGTACTGTTGTACACGATATAAGTGAATTCCATTATATAAATAAAACGCCTCCAGTAGTTTTCTAACGTTACTGACAGTCCCAAGTCGAACAAAAAGAGAGAAAGTAAAGACACAAGCTGAGTTCACAGAAACTAACAAGAGTAGCAAGAAACATTTTCGACAGTGTTATTGTCAGACATGGAAGCAACTGCGAACATGCTACACGTTTTATTCAGAAGGATTCGGGAGGAAGAACAATTGCCGACAGACTAGAAAGAAAGATATCCCATCAAGATACCAAAGAAAGATCTTAGTAAGTGGGAAAACTACAAAGGCATCACACTACTATCGGTACCAGGAAAAGTTTTCAACAGGGTGTCGTCGAACCGGATGAAAAGTTCAGTAGATGTATGACATTGAGATCAACAGGTCGGATACCGTACGGACCGATCGTGAACACACCAGATCGCGATACCACAGATCACTGTTGAGCAATCAATTGAATAAAATTCGTCACTATACATCGACTTCCTTGACTATGAGAAAGCGTTCGACAGTGTGAATAGGAGAACCTTATGAAACCTTCGACAGTATGGTCTACCTGGGAAGATTGTCAACATCAACTGGAATCCATACAACGGACGACACTGCAAAGTTGTGCATGGAGGGCAGCTGACAGATGCATTCCAAGTGAGGTTCGGAGTCCAACAAGGTTGCTCACTCTCACCCTTTCTCTTTCTTCTGGTAGTTGACTGGATTATGAAGACCTACAAAATTGAGGGGGAAGCACGGAATACAATGGACATCTAGCATGCAAATAGACTAATGGACTTTGCAGATGACCTAGCTCCTCTATCCTATATACACCAACAAATGCACGTGAAGACAGCCAGTGTAGCATTAGGCCTCAACATATACAAAGGAAAAGGCAAAATCCTCAAATACAACACAGAGAACACCAACCAAACCACACTCGATGGAGAAGCTCTGGAAGAGATGGAAACTTCCACGTACCTCGACAGCATCGTCGATGAACAGGGAGGATCTGATGCAGACGTAGAGGCAAGAATTAGTAAAGCAAGGACAACATTCCTACAATTGAAGAACATATGGAACTCAAGACAATTGTCAGCCAACATCAAAGTAAGAATCTTCAATATAAGACAGTCCTACTGTGCGAAGCTGGAACATAGAAAACTACGACAACTATCATCAAAAAGGTACAAATAATTATAAACAATTGGGTACGAAATATACTCAATGTCTGTTGTCCGGATACCATCAGCAACAGACGACTGTGGGGACAAACCAGGTTCCATTTGAAGAGGAATTTAGTAAAAGACGCTGGAGGTGGATAGGATATACGTTGCAGAAACCATCAAACTGCATCACGGGACAAGCGCATACTCAGAATCCTGAAAGGAAAAGGGGAAAGGAAGGAAAAAGAATACACTGCGTCGAAAATTCGAAGCAAACATGAGAAGGATGAGTAAAAACTGGAAAGGATTGCCCAGGATAGAGTGTGATGGAGAATGCTGGTGGGCGGCCTATGCTCCTCCACGAGTAGTAACAGGCGTAAGTAATACATATATATATACACTCAACTTACCGATTCGACCAAATATTTTCTTCAATAGCAACAACATCTTTTATCTTCACTTGGTTAACTGTTGTAACACTAAAAATGCAAAACAAAATTTATAAAACATTATGACAATACAGGTAAATATGAGAAGAAAAGAATCGACAAAACTAGGTTTATGAAATTATGTAGTATTTGTAAGGTTAACAAATTGCCAAGTTCATTATATATGTTGAAGATCAATTAAACAGTAAAGCACATGTACAGCTTACAACAATCAATGGTAACACTATACTAGAATATTAGACTTTTTTTTATTCATGAGGTCAATACTAATAGTTTTCTGAAATCTTACATTATTGATGCGTTAAAAAGATACTTATAAATGATAAATATCACAAAACGATTATCGAACCAGTGTAATATAAATGACCTACATCTACATCAAACTGATATACCAAGTAAATATTTATTTACTCAATTTTGAGGCTAACAGTTTATGTTAGAGTTATACGACTATATAGACTGAAATAACTACAGTTCGAATTCGGTGTTTACGTGTCAAAACCACTGTAAAGTAGGAAAGATTGGTTCAGTGAAGAGTTCTCTTTTCGATGAATTTCATTTTTAAAGCTGTACAATCGCAAGTATATAAAAACTGTTCGAGATGATAAAAATTACAATAATAGTGATAACGAAATTCTATTAAACATAGTAATAGTGAGGTAGGATAAACAAAGGCATAAAACTTTTTTTATCATGGAAACTAATAATGGTTTTATTGTTATAAAATAGTACAACAAATTAGATATATTAGTAATAATTAAAAATAGGAAATACTAACAATCATTAATTAGAAATCAATAATTTACCTATTATGAGAAGGTAAGTGTTGAATACAGTGTGTTTGGGTCCAGTCAAAAATTTTCGGAATAAACTCTTCCAATTTCGTAAACAAACTTTTTGGTTCAATACCAGAAGCATACCTTAGTTACAAAAGTTAAAGTGTAACAATGAACTTGATAAAAAACATTGTTGCTTTTTTTCGTTTTCTACTAAAAAGAGTTAGAAGTAATACTAACCACTGAATTATGAATTTACTTCGTATAATAATTACAAAATGAAACTGTACAACGAATTTGAAAGACTAACAATTACCAGCAATTTTATTTTCAGAAAATGAACTGGTAAATAGTTATCATCAGAATGGGGTTTGTGGAGATTGTAGTAATTTTAATAGTTGAATCCATGGATCGATTGTAGTTAGACATTAACACCGTTGGATGCCGGCCGGCCCAGTGGTCTAAAGATTAAAAGTTGGCGCGCGAGGCCGAAGGTCTTGGGTTCGAGTCCCGCGTGCGGGACCGTTGATGAGCGCTGTTGAGGAGCCTCATACGGCTGTTTAGTGCCTCCAGGTTTTTAATGATGGTCTACATTACATCGACCTATGAATTCAACTATTAAAATAGTTATCAGATAACACTTACTAAATTGAAAAAAAACTATCAAGAAACGATAACATGTAAAGGATCTGTAAAAGCAGTTAAATAATGGGTAATTATTTTCGGCTAGTATTAAAACTCTCAAACTGGATTATTTTCGAAACTGAGAACAGTCACTGTTGATTAATTAAAGACTAAACTATAGTATAGATTATTTAAATAAGAGAACAGGTAATGGTTGGATATATCAGAATAATTTGTTGTGCAGTATCAGTCAAAATAATTTTAACCATCAAAATATACGTAATCTGAGCAGTTTTATATGCTTCCAATATTTTACTATCTATTTGAAATGCCTTCTACCCGAAAAGCATGATAAGCAAAAAGACGATTCCCATATTATCAAGGTTTTTGTAAACAAAATAAGAGATCAATAAAACTCCTTTATAAATTATATTCATTTTAAACTTCTGAATACATTTACTCCCAACATGACCATGTTGTCATACATCACTTTAAAAAGTTATCAATTCCAAAAATAAATTTTAAGTTAAAACAACTGGTTTGAAGTTAAATATGACAGTTACACTGATAATATAGCTAGTTCTAGGTAATAAAATCAATTCAGCAAATCATAAAATTATGAGAATTCAATTTACAGTGTAATTGGCTATCATCAAATAAAAATACATATAACATTTCAAAAAGGTATGTGGAAGAAACTTGTAGTAATTTAACCATCAGAACTCACAATTGTAGAACTACTGAAGGACGATAGATGAGTCCCGAAACAATTTGTAAAACATCCTCTCTTTGAATATTATGTCTAGAAATTATCTAAAAACCACCAATAAAGGAAATGTTTACTTAGAGAGAAACTGATGGAATCAAAAGACGAACTTTGAAAAAGAAAACAATATATAATTTCGTAATTTAACTGGCAAACCTAAATACAATAATGTGGTAATATTTAAATACTGGATGTATAATTATGTTATAAGTATTTGTCTTTCAGCTTTTGCGCAACTTTTAGAAACCATATCTACTATTTTCTTGAGAGAATAGGATCAAAATATGTACGCCAAAACAAGAAAATTAAATAAAAAAACACTGCTGAACACGGTCATCAGACAAGAAACAACGTCTATAGATAAAGTTAAAATAATACAATAAGAATGACCCATGAAATAGTCCCAAGTATAAAGATGTCGAGAAAATTAATATATTCTTGCAAATCATTTTACCATAAAAATTAATGACAGCGAATTTTAATTATTTGAAAAAATTGTTTTCGACTAACACAATTCGACTGAAAGAGGAACATCAATCAACTACATTCAGAATAATTTTCTTTAATTTTGATATTCATGTATGATTATCCTTTTTACTATGGGCTATTTTAGTTATTTTTTCAATAATCCAACGTTAAACAGCTAAGAAATGAGACAATTTAATTGATGCACTATTATACATAGTGTCAAAATGATGAATTAAATCAGTCTTCTGAACTAATAATAAAATTCACAGATTGAAATCATGAGTTAATTGAAGCTAGACCGCCATGGAAAACCTAGAAGCACTGGACGGCCGTCTCGTCCTAGCATGGGACTCCTCAGCAGTGCGCATCCACGATCCCGCATCCCGCGAGATTCGAACCCAGGACCAGGAGACTGATAGTTCTAGCTTCAATTGACTCATGATTTCAATCTGTGAAATTTCTAAAATCTCAACAAACCCCTTCTGATAATAATAAAATCCTCTAAAATATTGTTTTCCATGTGTATTACTTTTTAAACATGACAGTAATATTTACGTAAATTCAAAAAATTTATGTACTTACATATAACGTATAAAGTATATAAGTAAAAATTGCAATACATAATTTACAAGCATAAAATATTCATTAAAACAAAAATATCAAAACATTTAAATCCAATCACGTTATTAAAATAGTTTAAGAATTGAACAGACTAAGAATGTAAACACTTTAACTAATCCACATTTTTGATATTCATAGAATATAAATTGGTATTGAAGCTGAAAGTATACAGATGTTATTTATTTACTTTATTTTAACACAGATATTGGTACAAGGAGGCACCAAATACATATGCACCACACAAAACTCACTCGATCTGTGTGAGGACTGTGATACTGTACGGGTGCCCAGACCGAAGCAGATGGTTTTCTTAGGAGGCCACACCCCGAGCCTTCGACCTGAAGGTCTGATCCACAAGGCAATGGAGCATCGTAAGGAGATGCAGTCCCATGGAAGCCGGTGACCAACAATTGGTTCATACGCCATTTTTTCCCGCAGGATACTGGAGCCCATGTGCACTATCAGTTTGGAATCCGGTCAAAGCGCCGGACATTCGCTTTTCGTCCTCTCATTTTTGTAAACAACACCCCTGCCACGAGAAGGCAGTGAGTAGGACTTCCCTGGCAGAGGCTATATACGCGTGGCCATGTGAAAGAATTTCGAGAGGGAGAGCGGACTCTCTCCACTCTCGGCAGTACCAGGGCATTTGGGGATTAAAGTATACAGAAAGCTGGATGAAACACCAAAAAACCATGATTTATTACTTAAAACTAATTATATAACAGTATTCAAACTCATTAATTCCAATAGTCAATTAAAATTGATTAAAAATATATAATCTTTCTTCTATTAGACACATTTTTTCATTTATAAATTTTTTATAAAATTATCTAATGAAACATTTACCTTTTGAAAAAGTTCATGCACTAAACTACCCGTCAACATTACATCACATTGAGAATTATATGTTTGATTTGAATCGATAACAGTAATTTCATTATCCTCACGATAACCACCATCAGTAACCCAAAACTGTTCCAATACTACACGTCTCAAACAATTTAAACTACTAACAATTTTTGTAGTTGGTAATAAATAATCTGGATTTAAACATAAAGCCGCACAATCATTCTGAGTCCTATTATTATTATCATCTGATATAATTAGAGTAGAATTATTATACACAGGACTTTTTATATCACCATATACATTTGGAATGATATTTATAGCGTCTTTTATTCGAATAGGCGTATCGAACCTGAAAAAATAAAATAAAATATACTACATACGTTTGATGTTCTCATTTCGAAAAATGAATGGAAAACATTTACAATGGTTAAATAGGATAAAATTTTATGGTTTACATCACAGACTGATTTTAGTCAAACAACCAGTCGACATCAAGATGTTTTAATATGGGAATTCTCAGTAGTGTTCCCATCACCCTGTCGGGGATCGAACCCAGGATATGGGTTCCAAGATAACCACTACGAATAGAACAACCGGCTCAATTTTATCAAAGTGTCAATATGGCCATACACAATCGAAATCTAATGAGTTGCGATCCCGACCGTTGTTGCTACCTTGACGTGGTGGTCGGGCTTGCCTATCGTGATGAAGCAACCGAGCTATACTAGCTGGAACAACCGTTCCTCAAGGTCCTACCATGTCAGACAGGTCGGTTGAAGAGCGGTAAGACTAAAAGCAACAAACCCAAGGTCCGAAGGCGAAGTCGTACTGCTGACTGTACAGAGGTGTGACAGCAGTAAGATATTTCCTTCAGATAACTAGCATAACAGTGATACTGCCTTCCCACAAGGAGGGGTGGGGTTAGAAAAGGTCGACCCTAAAATGCACACCTCGCCTTATCCCACGAATATCCGTCTCCGGCGGTAAGGTCTCAACAAGTACGGAGCTAACACAAAAATTACCCATAAAAAGATCGTGTATGACCGACCTCAAGCAGTTGTCCCTTGGGCACTGCGGTCACGCTCCCAGGTCCCTAAGGCCACCTCTAACCCAATTTCCTTTTCAGGTACCTCTGTTGTAGCTGACTGAATGAGTTGCAATAATTATATAATATAGTATCCAACTATTACTTAAAACAGTATCGTCAAAAAATTTACTGTGAACTTATTAAAACTTTTCCTACTAGAGGTTTATCAAGGAGTGATTCAACTGGTAGAAAACATCAAAAGAATTTCAAGAAATGTCGGATAACCTGGATATGAACGATGTCAAACTCTACAGGTTCCCCTAATAAGCCATTCATTAACGGATAAAACCACAGAGCAACCTTGGTAAATTGGACATGGAAAGTCGATAGAAAATAAAGATTTTAAAAACACATGCAACGCAATGTTTTGAAGATGAATTGTATTACCAAAAAAGACAGTAACAATCGATAAGAAGTGAATAGTTATTTACTTACCAAGAATCACGTAGTATGACATTTATTTTGGTTCTATTATCAGTTGTATTACTGACATCATCTAACTGAACAACTAGTTCACTTTGGTCACTATAAAACATAACATACACAAGTACGTTTACGTATAAATAGAAAACTAGCTTTTTATTTGAACTATAGGAAGTAGGAAATCTGAATCAAAAAACGTTTGAAAACTAACTATATTCAAAAGTGTAGAAAAGCACTAAAATGTATATATCCGAACATATATAAACAGACTGTATATCTTCAAATTTATTGTATAGCCGAAATTATAACCTCTAAATAAACAGTCATGAGCTGTGTACAAAGAGTCACTTTCTATGTCGTATTTATACGAGTTTTAACTAAGCACGACAAAAATTTAACTACATAATAAATGTTTATTCAGTCATCTTTTTAATACTCTTTTCTGAACATATTTTTTTTACCTCACTACAACAGCTACCGTGACGTAGTAGTCAGAATTATCTACTAAGATAACCCAGCTGAGCTCTAATGGATAGAAAAGTTGTTTCTCCAGTTCCTGTCAAAAAGGTCAGGTTGGTTAGAGAACAGTAAATCGGGCCCTAAAAATAGCACATCTTAATTTAGTCCGCAGATTTCCGTCTTCTGTAATACGGTTTTTTGAAGTACGGAGGTAATACATCAAGAAATTCATGCACAAAAACTGTGTGTAACCAAAATCAAGCATTTGCCCTTGGGCTACGTGGTTAACCTTTAGGTCGTTAAGACTAATAGTAAACCAGTTTTATTTACGTGTACCTCAAGAAATATCCTTTCAGGCCATGAGCAACTAAGAAGTAACAACCGATTTCATACGTCGGACGGCACTTGACTGATTTTATTTCTATAACATAAACGCAGTTATTTATCCAAACTCGATCACTTTTATCCGATTTCTGTGTAAATTAGATGAATTTCGATGATCTTTCATGATTGGTTATTTCTTTAATTTGCTAACATTTATTCAAAAGAATTGTGGTGTACCAAACAAATCAAAAACATGAATTTCACTGAGCATGTGTAACTTTTGGAGAATGGAATCACTGGAAAAAGAAAACTCTTTACTGAACTATTATTGTTTCTTCTTTTCTTCCGTATTTTGTGTCTTTAAAAAAAGTTAAAATGAATGACGCTAATAATTTAAACACAGCACGTTAATCGTAAAGCCTATGATTATCTTTTTTTTCTGACAATGAAAGCTTATATTTGATTTTTAAAAAAGATTTCTGGATTAATCAAGCATAATTAATATACGTAACCAAGATAAAATACGTACAACAAAACAGTACAATGGGGAAAAAAACAATTACTGGAACAATTATAAATGAATAATTTTTTAGCAGATAAATCCATCAGATTGACATATCCAATTGTGTTGTACAGATGAAGCATTATTTATGCTATTCTAGTATGTGAACCAGAAAATCAGTTTATATGGTTCAACTTAGTGAATTTTGTTCACACAGTGTGAATTCTTAATAAAACGACCAAGCAAAAAAACAGAAAAAAATAAATGAATATATCCAAACTGTCAGTTACACACAAATTCTTATAAGAAAAAGAGTAAAACATAGTTAGAAAGTCGTGCAAATTTTCAAAAATCAGTAATGACAAATGTTGAATGAAAGAAATAAATGTATTTAAATTTTCATTGATATACATTTATCCGTATGAAATGGTGTCGAAGATATCGTAAAACAAATGCGATTGTTGTTGTCGTTGTTGTATGACCTTACTGACATAAAGTCAGTTTTTTTTTCAAATAGTTTGTTAAATACTACTCCATGGATTGAATAACATTTCTCAAGTGTTTTTTTATGAATAATCATGCAATTACTCAAATACATGAAAATTTTAATATACTTACCACTCAAAAAGTCCTTAAACAACATGTACTGATTAACCTCTGAAACACTTGGATGACAGTGTTAATTCCTGAAACCGAGTTAATTGGAAACTCCTAACTCATCTAAAATACTCTTAGGTCAACTACAACTCATAGGAATGCCTTCCTATGAGTTGTAGTTGTGTCGAGGAACGGAGAAATAGTTAAGGATATACAACAGAATATAATAAACGATGAAAATGTGGGCTATTATTTTAATCACAGTGATAAGGTACCAAGTAATACATCACGCCATTTGTTTTAGTGCATAGCACTAAATGAATTATTAGGAAATGCCAAAATGTTTCATGTGAAAAAGTTTGCAAGACTGCAGTAGTGTAAATACCAATATAAGATTACAGAGTACATTTTACAGTCTCTTTCTACATAATGGACGTTTTAATATTAACAACGCAAAAAAAACATAACTAAAAAATTTCATTAATCGTCAAACAAATTAATTCTAATAATTTAAACATATAAATATAAAAGGTATTTCACTAGAAAAACTAATGATAACCGACCATTTGTTATTTATTTGCACAACAGTCCCACGTAAAAATGATTGGTCCGGAATTTGAAGTAACTGATCGTCAACAGTACGCTTTTGTTTTAACCTTTGTGAGAAAAAGAAACATTTGGATAATGAATAATTCTGGCAATAATAAAGAAAATCATCATACATTGTGAAACTGCATACGGTTAAAATTGGACTTATATACACAGAAAAAATTAACATAATCCATGAGGAAATACTCTACTGATAAACTATGAAACAAATGTATCCACCCAAGTAACGAAATATGGAGTTATGGCACATTAGGTATGATAACATCTCTTAATAACTACCTGTTGATTAGTATCATTAGTCACCAACCGACACACTTGGTTCATATCTAGTTCAAAACTTTAAAAAATAATCTTATGTTTCTTCACATTATTGATGAGCCTAAAAAACCTGCATTTTAGACTCAATCAATTATAAGTTTAACAAATAACTCAGCGATCACTTCCATTCAGGGTGATCAAGAAGTATCGCATTGCAGACTAATCCTTTTACAACCTTTACCAGTATATAGAAAATTATTAGGTGGATGATAAAATTCATATCTAACCAACCAATGACAACAGTGTATGAGTAAATTTTACTGTGAGATGGATGTATATACAAAACAGAGATTTGTGAGTTCCCTACAACTGCATTGATAGATTTCAGTAGATAGCAAGGACACCAATGTACTACAGTTATTTATGTGGAAAATACCATAAAGCCTACTCAAAAACTGATAGGATCGGTCATAAACTTGATTATGGAAAATGCATCACTTTGTTGAACAGCACAGTAACACCACAAATTATATTTACAAAGTTAGGATTCAATAACTGTAATTATAACATATACAACGTATAAACGTTAACCACTACAATCTGGAAAAAACATTCTGGATGGCAACACATGCACTAATAAGATGATTAAAATGTTTTTGTTATTGTTATAATAGTTAAAGGTCTTATATTCTCATTATTTTATTCGTAAATCCTCATCATATCACCTTATTTATTTTTAACACCTCTATGACCTTTAACATGCACTAATGTAAGTATTATGAGCAAAATTAATCAACTCTAAATCTAAGGTTGGAATGATGTACGCAGCTAAAAACTATGTATCATTGGTCCAACTCTAGTTTGACTGTACATAATCGAGCAATGAATAATAGTGTGCATTTATTCTTTATATTTGTAATGCTTCGCTGTACTCCTCTGTTGTTAATTTGTTAGAACTGTTAAAAACATAGGCGATAACTATTAGAACTTTGATTTCAAATTGATATTAAATAGCATCGGAACCATTTTCAACGTCCTTAACTAATTGGTTTATTTACCCTTGAGAAACACTAAGCAAAAAAGAAAAGGGATGAGAACAAAGTTTTAACGTTATTATCAAATAAGAGTTAGAATTTAACCACTAAAATTTTTCAATTACAAACGATTATAATAACAAAAACCTACTTCCAACTTAATCTTATCAACAAATACAGGACTTTATCGTGCGAATAAGAAAAGAGACTCAGAGAGTCATAAATAGGTCCAGATAAAAAGAAAAACAATGAACTACTTACATAACTAACTCTTCCTTAACAGGTGACCAGTCACTTAAATTCAGCAACTGAAATGTCTCATCATGTACAGAGGATTGTGTATTGTGTTCATTATGACAATATATTTGTGATGAATCTAGAGTGACAGCTTCTTGCTTAATATGCTTATGACTAGGTAGGTCATCTTTTCTGACAAGTTGGTCTAAAATGTCATCTAATGCGGACAATTCTTGAGTATTTAGGTGGACTTCTCTAGTAACAGAATGTTTTGAATTTGCATCCCTCTTTGGTGTACTTGTACCTTCAGGATTAGAAACGCTGTATTCGTTTGGTTTTCGATAATTTGGTGAATCTGGGGAATGTGCAGTTGAAATTTCAGTTGCTTTGCGCTTCGATGCTGAACAAGTAAGCAATGCCGTGGAAACCATCTTTTTAGCACGGTTACTAGTAATCACAGAACGATGCGATATTACATCATTAAATTGACTCTCCTTTGATGTTGTTTTTACAACTTGATCCTGAGGAGCATAATTTAAAAGGTCATAGTTTCCTCGACGGAGCTTAGCAGAAATTTGTGCTTGTCTGTTAGAACACATTTGTTGATTTTCATTCTTATCGATGGGATCACTAGAAAGTAAATTATGCAGCTTTGATCGAAGAATCTCATCACGACGAACTGTAAGCGATGAACGACGAGCAACAACTTTCCGTTTGCATAACTTTGGAGATGAAATCTTGTCAATGTGTATAGTTCCCAAAGCTGCTCTACCACTTAACGAAGCTCCTAAATTTCTGTTAGTAGGATCGGGTGTTCCAGGAATAATGAAGCTTTCGTCACAACTAGAGTGCTTTGATTCTACAGATAAAGAAACGAACATTAGAAAAATAAGTATGAATCTAAGGTCAAATTCTGATTCACCAATACAATACTAAAAATATTTGTGGATGGAAAATTAACTACGGTTGTCAATTTATCGAATTTGTGAAGATATTGAGTGAAATATATCTGCTATAGGATTATGTTTACTTAATACAAACTACTTACTACAAAAACAAATTATAAAAATATTAACACTGAGATTTTAAGTATGAAATGTACTTTAGACAACACAAGGAAATATGGACCAGAATATAAACATACTCTCGGTGATGACTTTCTAAAAGATGGTCTGGAAGTTCGTGTATTCTGGAATTCGGATCATTTAATAATGAGTTACCATAAATCGTTATACTTAAGTAGCTTTTGCAAAACTTGATTACAATAATTTAGGAAGTTGAAACAACAAGCGACAAAAATTCTAAGAAAAAAACTGACAATAAAAATAAGCAGTAGTATACCTATAAGTCCAACAACTTTATTTGGCGATTCATGCAAGGACGTAACTGATGAAACTTCTGGTTTCTATTTCATTCAAACAAACAAAAAACAATTAACTTGAGGTTGAAATAAAGACGATAGATTTTATAACATCATAAATCATAATAGGATAAATCAAATAAACACAAATATATACAGTGGTAACAGAATAAAGTTTACATTGATAACTGAGTGATTGCAGTGGTGTTTTCTGACTCTACATATTCTCTAATTTATATTTTCACTTGTTTTAGAGTTGTATAGATATTCATGACAGTAAATAAATCACCCTATCTAAAAGAGTCATCTAATGAATATGTATCTGTGAACAAGTTCAGGATTTGCAACATTAAACCACGTTTTGGAAGATGTTATTACGCAAGTTATGCAGTGAAAGTTATCATCCAACACAAATCATATCTGTAGTAACGGAGGGTATAATTGAGGTACTTGGTAAACTACGACTCTGAGAGTGATTTTTGTAGAGTTTGCTATCCTAATAACACGAACATCATATGAACTCACTCTACGGAAATTATTTGTTTCAGGTTCGATCTGTAATCAGTATCACAACTAATCACATTCAACTGAAGTGATATTAATTGTATATCAGAATGGGTTTTGTGGAGAATTTTAGAATTTTCACAGTTTTTTGAAATCATGAGTCAGTTGAAGCTAGACCACCATTGAAAACCTGGAAGCACTGGACGGCCGTTTCGTCCTGGTATGGGACTCCTTAGCAGTGCGCATCCACGATCCCGCACCACGCGGGGCTCGAACCCAGGACCTACTGGCTTCGCGCGCGAGCACTTAACCACTAGACCACTGAGCCGGCATCCAACGGTGTTAATGTCTAACTTCAACCAATCCACGAAGTTGCGCCACCGTACACCATTGTCTTCAGTGAGTTGTTATCTCACAACAGACCGGTTGAACTCCACTGGTAACGGCTTCTCACTAGAACTTCGGGAGTTTTTCCTGAAGTCAGTCACTAGTGAGCAGTTGATTATTATTATCAGAATGGGTTTTGTGGAGAATTTTAGAATTTTCACAGTTTTTTGAAATCATGAGTCAGTTGAAGCTAGACCACCATTGAAAACCTGGAAGCACTGGACGGCCGTTTCGTCCTGGTATGGGACTCCTCAGCAGTGCGCATACTTGAATAAGCACGTTACGAAAGTAAACACATAGTCGTTTGATTGGTTAATGGGTAGTTTTTGCACACAGACAGGATAAGCAGCATGTGTAAACCATGGTCTATTTTTAAACAATACCAACTTCTAGAATAATCATCGCCGATGCGTATTCAGGAGACCCGTCTATAACTCAAGCTTCAACTCTAAAACATTACACTGTAACCAGCTGACAATGACTTTTCTTGTTTGTATTCTGATTATTCACTAATATTCACTTAACTTGTCTGCTGATTAGACAAGAGTTGACATAAATAGTCTGACTTTATCTACTATTACAACCACAAAGCAAATCAAAATAATCCCCAAGTCAACCGTCAAACCATTGAAAAGGGTAAATGAGACTTAAACGTATCTACGAAATGCCGTGAAAATAGCAAGAAAAATTTTAGTAGCTTTGAGAAACGTTACAGTCTTAAACACAATACTTTACAGAATTCTTCGCTTTCACAGGGCTATTCAAATCTACTGACAACTTCATACAAGTAATGTGTGTAGTCCATTTTCAAGAGTTTAAATATGATAATAAAAAGGATAAAATCAAGGTAGTAGCTGTTTATTCATACAGGTATTAAAATGACAGATGAGATAGTTTAACAAGATTAAGCGATCCTCTCAACCGTTTTAAAACTATATAATCTAATAAATTCGAACTGGGCACTTAATACGTCCATAAGCCTACAGGATTAAAAGTATATAATCCATTTGATTTAGAGATTGAAAAACACGGCTACAAAATCAATAATATACTTGATGAAAGCACCAAGCTGTGATTTGCATGAAACACGAAATCAACAAATTACTGGTGGTGGATAGTAAATATACCATATAAAATAAGGAAATTATTCACAAAAATTCAACCCACAATGAAAAGGATGTAAACTCACCTTACCAAAAAAATTTAGTAAACTCGATTGTCTCATCTCGCCAAAACAATCTGCAAAATAATACTTTGTTTATAATTTTACCGGACAAAAGCAAACACGGAGTAATGTAAAAAGGACGAATTTAGATTAATTAATTTAGATATCTCTATAAGAAATACCTGCCGAAACTATTTAGTTAAGTGCCGATTCATATCCTCGAACTGTGATGGATAACTTCCGATTCAATCAACTAAACTTATATCATTATTGCTAAGTTGTCATGAAAACGCAGAAATGCACAAGACTAGTGGCACACAAGCAATGAATTTTATGGATGGTTTACAGAGTTTATCTGTTGCGGTACTTATATTGACATCTGACGATTTAGGATAAAATTAATTCTAATGCCCACAAATGGAAGCAGGAATTGTATTGTATAGTGTAATCAAAAAACTTTGAACATTTTATTAAGGGAATTTATCATTATTAATACCTGCCTAATGGCCAATCTAATTATAGGGTTGTCATCAAAACCTTGGAGAACACAACTTTATTTATAAATGAGGATAGGCATGGTAAACTTCGGCTTACTCTGAAAAACATGAACAGTCTGATTTAACTTATTACTGCAAGCTAGTATTCAGACTTCTTTCTTCTCAAGCCTAATTTTAAAACATGAACATACTCTTTCTTCTTCATGCAATACCAGTATTCACGTTTTACAACTTCAGGCCATTGAAACTATCAAATGTTTATTATACATAATGCATAAAAAAGGATCTAACCGAAAACAATATTGTTCGCTTATATATGTTGTACTAAATTCACAATAAGAGAATATTTCAAAGGTTAACAAGTTACGTTTGTTGATGATAATATCAGTGATAGTTTGTAGCTCAGAGTTAGCCAGTTTATGTCATAGAAAATGTGGGACCTTACACAAATATGCATCGTCCCAACTCATATCACCGAATAGATAAATGAAACTTATAGGATGAGAATTAAAGGAGGAAAAATAGTATCCAATACAATGAAGAGTCATACAAAAAACATGCATTCTGAAGGGAATAAATGATATGAAAGTTAAAATTATGAGAACAATAAACAATGACTGCGGTGACACTACTATGGTCAATTTTAAGTCGCCACACAACGCTCATAATCATGGATTATGATTATCACAAGTATCGTAACCTGGAAGTTCAAAACTAGACGTAATGATACAACGCACTAGGAGTCATTGACTTTATAAACTGATCCTAATTTTTATCTTATGCTATTTTTTTTCCAGCTTACTCTATTCCAGATAACATTGAGAGTAACGAAATATGGAAGGTTTGTGTACTCATCAAACAACTTACTATGCCTACACCGAACCCTACGCTTGATCTCAGAACTACTTAATTGATGATGTTATAAGTCATTTGGAGATATATGTCAACAAACGCTAGTAACTTACTGAAGTCTTCTACCTTTGTTGGTTTGTACACCGAAATAGAGAAAACAACTTAAATTGATGTAAGTAAAGGTTAAAGACAGGTTTCAGAAAAATTATAGTTATACACAACCTAACTCTCTTCATTTCACAATCAGAAAAAAGATATATACCATTAATCAACTATCCCAAATTTATTAGTAGTCGGAAAATAGACGCGAAATTTACTTCAAACTCACAGGAGTGAAATTTAGGATCAAAATCAAATGGATAGTAAGTTTTTCCAGCTTCGCCTAAACATTGAATAATCATATATTAGACAAAATCATTTATTAAATATCATCGCAGAGTGAATCTCTGCCTCTTTTATAAGAAGGGAGATTAGTAACATGACATCAAGTCCAACCATACGAAGGCTTTGTTAAACAATGCTGTAAATAAATACGATTATTTATTTTACGAATGTAACTCACTAATCAGGTGAAGTTTAGTTTATTCTTAGGTTTGAGTCATACTACTGTAAGAAATACTGACACCACCGCTTTCCACAACCAGAAGTAGGTCGAATCGGTTTTGAATCTAAGGTCAATGGCATTATTCGTTGAGATGACCATTACTTTGAAATCCATTACTACTAAAACACATACATAGAAATCACCAAAGTTCAACAGAAATTTAAGAAGTCCCCTCTTAAATGGTTTCTATCGTGATACTGATTAGCATATATATATTACCGCGAACCATCAATGAACAGTACTTAAACGACATCCTGGACCCTGATTTATACGTTAGGACGATGTTATTTGACTAACAGATTTAAAAGTGGATTTCGACCTGTAATTAATGAAGGTAACTAATTTCTTAGTTGTTCAATAAAACAATTAATTACACTTCTAATAACTAAAAATGTCAATTCATTTTACATACCTCAAAGAATATTAGAACGAGCTCTAGATCAACAAATATCAATTATCTATCATTCTGATATATAACTTTAGGTTTATGCTAGCCCTCATCTAGAACACCTTCAAAATTATAATTTTTATGCTGTATTTTTAAGAAATTATTGTTATAATACAAGTTGAGTACAGATGTAAAGTGACCGAAAATAATAATTACACAAATATTTGTAATTAATTACGAAAGCCTATTTTTACCGAAACGTTAAACAAACAAAATATCACATTATGCTCCTGTAAATTCACAACAACCGGATTAGAATACTTACTATTTGACAAAGAAAAGATAAAAGAGAAAATTAACAATTTTATTATTTAGCAAGCACGTTAATTACAAGTAAAGATAAGCAGAAATAGAACTTTTGTACACAAAGATATTCTTATAAAAAAATAATAAGAGGGATATACATACGTTATAATCGTTGGCTCTGTTTTACACATGATAAGATGAAAAAATCAGATAAATGTGAGGGTTAAAAGAAAAAAATATTTAAAATATATAGCATTACATGGATTGTTACAAGTTAGTAGAGAATAATTTCAGACTTAGAGTTAGACTATCTTTTCAGTTTGAATATTATCCCCGGAATTCCTAACACGAAGTAATTCAGATCCAATTCCTACTTCAGAACTGGAATCCTGATTTGAAAGAAGAGGGTTGATTTCGTTGTCACAGTATGCAATACTATTACAATCGACTTCATCAGCGTCAAGAGATACAACTCGGTGATAAGTTCCTGAAAGACTGTGACGGCTTGAAAGTTGACGGTCGGAGGAGAAATTAAAATGTCTTACACTATGACCTGTAGTCAAATAAAACCAAATATGATCAATTAGATAAACATCATTAAGGATCAGTAACTCATATTTTTAAAATGAATGACTAACCCAATACTGACAAAAATTGAAGATAACCACAAAGCAAGCAACCAGTAAACTTTTCCATACTAAGGGCAAAAACTGATATTGCAATCACAATTCATTTGAAAAGGGATTTTATCATGGATTGATATCGATTTAAAGAGGACTAGGAACCAGGAAACAACGACAGATATTACAACCACATACTAAATCAGACATAAGACCTAAATGACTCTTGATCGTAAACTTGGGGAGCAACCAAGCTATATTTATTTATTTATTTATTTGAACACATAAATATTGGTACAAGAGGGCACCAGATACATATACTCCACACAATAATAATGAGAATGTGAAGCGATAAATAATGTAAGGTGCGTGTAAAAAGAAAAAAAGAACAATAACGACCACAAATTAATGTATGGTAGTGAAATAATAATAATAATAATAATAATAATAATAATAATAATAATAATGCAAGAAACAGAAAGGTACAACCAGAAAGAATTCTTTCAGTTAAAGAAGTTGCGGCCACTTTTTATGAAGTAAAAGAAGGTTACAGCACGATCGCCACTGGCTTCTATTCCGAGCCATATCTGATAACGTCTCTAGACACTGTGTTGCACCATCTCTAGGACCCCAGTCAGGGAGTCGTGAAGGACCAAAACAAGCCAGCCCTTTGCATCTTTCTTTCATGCCACGACACCATGCTATACACTGACCCCCTCTACACTTTTTCCAACCAGTCCCAGCGTCGGCAACTAATGCACGACGTGGAATTCTCTGGGACAACATTCGTAGATTATGTCCAAACCACCGAAGTCAATGTTTCAAGATGGCGACACCAATTGAATGATCATCTCTGTGCCCGAACACACGATGCTGAACCTCTGCATTACTAACATGGTGTTGCCACTTGATGTCAACAATCCTTCGGAGACAACGATGATCGAACACAGAGAGTTGTCTAACATCCTCAACTCGAAGAGGTCAGGTTTCACAAGCATAGAGCAAAACTGCTCTCACCGACGCGTTGTAGATACGACCTTTTACAATCAGACTAACATCACGAGGGCGCCAAACATGGCCCAGATTGGCATAAGCCGCTCTGGCCTTCACTATACGTGCATTGATCTCATCACTCACACCCCCACCAGCACTTATGCGGCTACCCAGATACACGAACTTCTCGACTACTTCTATCTGCTCACCATCCAGGGTGAGTACAGGATTGGAATCTTGCCAGTCTTGTAGAAGTATTTTGCACTTCGAAGGTGCAAAGCACATACCATACCTACGGACACTGATTGCCAACTGATTAAGTGCGGATTGCATGCCTTGGGCATTATCGCACAGTAAGACAATATCGTCCGCATACTCAAGGTCGAGAAGTCTTTCTCCAGGCAACAGATCCACACCACCATTACTTACACCCAGCAGAGCTGTTTCCAGAATGTCATCGATGGCAAAATTGAAGAGGAATGGTGAGATTGGGCAACCCTGCCTAACCCCACTGCTCGAATGGAACAATGGAGAGAGGTGGTTGTATAACCTCACTCCGCCTAATGTGTTTGTATATAGGGCTTTTAGGATGTTAATAAGCTTCTCAGGCACACCCTTCTTCAATAGACAATCCCAGAGAACAGTCCTGTCCAACGAATCGAAGGCAGCCCTGATGTCAAGAAACACTACGATTGTTGGCCTTTGATAAGTATGGCGGTGTTCTAACATTTGGCGAAGGGTGAAGATATGATCAATACATCCTCTACCAGAACGAAACCAAGCCTGCTCCTCGCGAGTCAATCTTTCTTGGGTTTTGAAC